AGGTCTTCTCAAGTTTCATACTTGAGGCACAGACGGAGGAAGCCTGTTTTTCGAAGCAATCGAATCACCAATGAACCGTAACCACCACCTCCCCTCAGAATAAATCATTTTAATTCAATATCCGTTAACTTCACAGTCGACTTATTTTCACCGGTGTTTTAATAATAAAGAGAAAGCTACACCATCATTGAAAATGAATGAAAAATCGTCAAGCCTCGATAAAAATTCAAGAAACAGTGGTTCAAAAGAACGACTGTTAAAATTTTTACTGTGAACGGTTTCATTGTACAGAATATCTCATGAAGAGATTGACACATTCGTAATTGCGAAATAATTTAATTATTTAACAAAGGAGAATCAAAGAAAGGAGGAAACAGATATGATAGAGATTTCAAAGAAATTTTTCATAGAGAACGGAAATTGATAGAATAACTTTTCCATCGTGATCGAATTAAAAAAAAAAAAATTCACTCGAGTGCAATTTATTTGATAAACACTAGCTTTCGAGTTGATAAAATTCTTTCTTCGAACGATGGATAGAGAATAATTCGCGTGATATTTTTTAGAGTGAAATTCGTTTTATCGGAATATAATGGAGTAAGTATTATTTAACGATAAATTTATAAACAATAAAAATCTAAATATATTATATTGTCGTAATTGAAGTCATGTTGTAAAAACGAATTGGTATATAATTATATTTAATATTTCGTGGCTCTCTAACCTTAAACACGCTTAAACATTTGATTCGATGATGAAAGAAGAGACTTCGATGGGTATTTTAGAATTTTTCTTTGAAAGCTTTGAGAATGGTGAAAAAAATAATCCTAGATGATCCAGATTGTAAATGGTTATATTAGCAAGTGGGAATTGATAAAGAAACGATATCAATTTTATTAAAAATATTTTTCTCGTTTTTAATAATCGTCTTTAATAACGGGGAAAAAAGCGAAATAATCTATAATTTTAAGCAGTTTGGTAACTTTGTTATTAAATATTCCTTTTTCTTTTAAATATAATCGTCGATTCCATGATTATGAGAAATTTTTCCATTAAATTCGATCTTCTTATTACGAAACAAAAACAAGCGATACAGATAATAAGCAGCAATGACTAATGTATCAGGTGATAAAGAATAAATGAGAGGAGGAACTCGTCGTTTCTCTTATCAAAATTTCCACTTGATATACAATACACATTTTACAAGCAACTATGAAATACCATAATTAATCCACGCTAAAAAAAAAAATAATCATCCTCCAAACACAACAAAGAATATATCTCCTTCCGTGTAAAAGAGAGTTCTATATTTATCATTTGAAAATCTAAGAAAGAAAAAAGAAAAAAAAATTATCATCCAATTACGTAACATCACACGTTAATCCATAAAATTAATCGTTCTCCAAAGATTATTTGAAAGTAAATATTTCTCTCTCTCTCTTTTCCAACGATTCCGTAAAAAATCCCCTAAAAAGTCTGAAGAAAAATAAAGAGAGAGAGAGAGAGAGAGAGAGAGAAGAAAACTAGTAACATACAAGGACCATTCTTTTCGCTTT